AAAGACACTTTCTATCCCTTTTTCTCTCTCTTCTTCTTCTGGTACCCCTATAATGCAGATATTGTTCCTTTTGGATTGGTCACACAGTTCTCTTAATATTATTTCATTCCTGGAGATCCTTTTATCTCTCTCTGTGTCAGCTTCTATGCATTCCTTTTCTCTGGTTTCTATTCCATCAATGACATCCATTCTGCTTTTAAATCCTTCCAGAGATTGTTGTATTTCTGTAGTCTCCCTCCCTACTTTGTCGGTTAGCTCTTGTATTTTTCTCTGCAACTCCATCAGTATGATTATGACCTTTATTTTCAGTTCTTTTTCAGGAAGATTGGTTAGGTCTATCTCTCCAAGCTCCTTCTCAGAGGTTGTCTCTGTGATTTTGATCTGGATCAAATTCTTCTGCCTTTTCATAGCAATAGAGGTAGTTGTAGGGAGCTGGCGCGTGTGTCGGCTGGGAAAACGTCCCTTCTTGCTAGTTTGTGGCCTTCCTCTCCTGGGAGAACAGCGATCCCTAGTGGCTTGTGCTGAGTATATGCGCGCAGATGGGATCTCTGATTCTTGCCCGGGCTGCTGTGAAAGAAGCTCTGCCCTGCTGCTGTGGACGTGGCCAGCCTCAGGCTGCTGCTCTGCTATGGGGTTTCCGCACAGGAGGGGGAACGGGCGGGAAGCTGTTTATTGCCATGAGGGGCCTCCAAGCTGTGCTGCCATCCAGGGGTTAGGGCCCCTGGAGTTCCCCGGCATTCCCAGCTGCTTGGCTGATTGCGCCGGGACGCTTCCGTCCAGCTGTGGGGTCCCTGTCCCTTTAAGACTTTCAAAGGGCACTTGCTTTTCTTTTGTCCCAGGGGTGCCGGCTGTCCCAGGGGACCCGTTCGCAGGTATTACTATTCCATTTCCCTAGTCTGAAGCACACCACGCACTGTGTGTCTGCGCTCCCAGTGCGGATGGCTAGGGTGAGTGTTTAGTAGTCCTGGGCTCCCCCTCCCTCCCTGCTCTGACTCCTCTCCTCCTACCAAGAGCTGGGGTGAGGGGTGCGACCCGGGCCACAGCTTGTATCTTACTCACTTAGTGAGGCACTGGGTTCTCATAGGTATAGATGTAGTCTGGCTATTGCCCTGTATCTTCTGGTCTCTCTTTTAGGAATAGTTGTATTTGTTGTATTTTCAAAAATATATATGGTTTTAGGTGGAGATTTCCACTGCTGTACTCACACCGCCATCTTGGCTCCTCTAGAACAGATGCATTTTTAATCTGGACAGTTAATATGCCTTTCTTTGCAAAATAGTTATGTCACATCCAGTTAATAGTAAAAATTTTAACATTAAAAAAGAAACCTCGTAATTGATTTCATATGTGTTTTTATCATTCTGCATGATAAAAAGCAGAGGTTTTGGGTATTTTTACCCCTTTGTTATATTTTGGGTCAAAATGAGAATTTTAAGCAGAAAAAGTTCTAAATCTCATAGGCATGTGAAGCCTTTCTAAACAGCGTTTTATAAAGAGAAAGTCAGCACCTTTTTGGTTGAAATTCTCTGCTCTAGTAAATAGTCATTCTGTTTTGATACCATAGTTTCAGTCCTATAATAAGTATTTGTTAATTAATTCCCTTCCAATGTCTGTCTTTAAATTTCAACCACTAATCTTAGCATCCATTGTAGCAATTAGTATGGTGTCTTGGCACACTTACACTACAGACATTTGGCATACACACACACACACACAACACACAGAATAATCCAGTAAAGCTAACGTGGCTTAGTCTGGAGACACCTCAATGTGAGAAGCTGGCTCCCCCATGACTCCAAGTTAGGCAGCTATCCAGGTGCCAGGGTAGCAAGAACCTTAGGAGTTCAGTGTGGTGCAACAGAATTTACTGACTGCCTGCTATGCACCAGGCCCTCGACTTCAAGTGCTTGAGATTTAAAAACAAGATCAATTGGTGCGGTTTCTTGGGTCAAGGAGCTCCTGTCTAGTGGTGAAGCATAAATATAAAGAGATAATTTCAGTTGAGGCAGAGAGAGGAAGTGTGATCTGTGGAGAGTGCTGAGGGGCAAGTGAAGGAGGCTCCTGAGGCAGTGCAGTGGAGTGGACAAGTGAGCACTTTGAAACTCGTCAGGCCAAGGCTCAAAGGCCAGCTCTGCAACTTAATAGCTCGATGACTTTGGACAAGAAACAAATTTTTGAACTTCAGTTTTCTCACCTTAAATATAGGGATAATAGTACATACTTTATAAGAAAACATCTATAAAATGTCAGTCCTATAGTAAGCACTTGTTAATTCCCTTCCCATGTCTCTCTTTAAATTTTAGTCACCAATTTTAGCATCCATTGTAGCAATTAGTATGGTGTCCTAATAGAGAAGAGATAGCTCTTCCTTACTGAAGAATTAAATCCATACATGTAAAAGGAATGAGGGAACTAGAAAATCACTATTAGGATGTGGTAAGAATAATTGGTATAGGCAATATCCACCATTGGATGATAAAATTAGTGGGTGAAAGTTAAGGAAAAACAGGATATTTGTATAGTCTCAAAGTGTTCTCCCCCAGGTAAATATTTATTAATTACAATGGAAAAGTAGGCATTGATGGGCTGGTGAGTTTTCCTAATTGCTTATAAAGCATACATGAGTTAGTTATAACCAAAAAATTAACATAGCACACTTAAACTACAGATATCTGGCAGACACCATCTTAACCAAGTGATCAATCGATGTTAACATCACCAGTACTACAGCATGTCAGATCTGGTCCCCCCTGATGCGCTGCACTGAGAAAAGCATGTTATCTCTGTGGTGTTCTTCCTAGCACTGCATAAGCCCAATGTAATCATGAGAAAACACCAGATAAACCCTAATAAAGGGTATTCTGTACAATAACTCACCAGTACTCTTCAAATATCTTAAAGTCATGAAAGACAAGGAAAGACAGAAACTGTCACAGATTAAGGACACATGGCAACCAAATGCAAGTTGGAGTTGTGGGTTAAAGCCTAGAACAGAAAAGCAGTAGTAGGGGGAAAACTGACATCCACATAATCTGTATTAAGTATTGTGTCAGTATTACTTTCTTAGTTTTGATCATGTACTATGATTATGAAAGATGTTAGTTAGCCTTAGGGAAAACCAGGTAAAGGGTATAAGGAGCTCCCTGTGCTATTTTTGCAACTCTTCTGTAAGTCTCAAATTATCTCAGAGATTTTTTTGAAAACCTTGTAGGTAGAGTTCACTATTTCTTCCACCTTTACAGATGTCACCCTTCCTCGCCTAAAGGCCTTCATACCTCAGCTGCTATCACGGCTGCACATCGAAGCCCTTCTCCATGGAAACATAACAAAGCAGGTGCGTAGTTGAGGTTTTAGCAATCTTTTATGAATCAATGCAAGAGATTATTTTTACCCTAGTCTGTCTAAGACTATTAACCACTGTTGTGTGATTATAAGCACATTAGTGTTGACTCAGCCTACTCTAGCTCTTTAAAGAGGGTGTTGGGGAGTAGATGGATCATGACTAACTATAGACCTACTTTTATGGCTGCCTCCTCTGCTTTTGCCTGCCCTGTGCAGTCAGAGGAGGAAATGGGAATAATTGTCCCTTCTCTGTGGGACAGCAGGACTATGTAGTGGATTAGAGCACATGGTGTGGAATCAGCCTGGATTCAAATCCTGACTGTGTCACATAATAGCTGTGTAATCTGAAAATGTATTAACATCTGTACTTAGTTTCCTTCGTTGTAAAATTGGAGTTATAAAGATTAAACTAAATAATACATGCCAGATGTTGAGGCACATGGAAGGCTTTCCAGAATTCTCAGGGCAATCTGTCACAAAAGCCCACACACCCTACCACTCTCCTACCACTGCCTCCAAAACAATATGCCCAGTGTCAAATGCTAATAGGTGGCAGGGATAGGATTCTTACTAAGGTCAGTTTTATTAAAAATGAAGCCTTATGTTATTCATTTACCTCCTTTGCTTTGTACTATAACCTCAAGTATCTAGATCAGGATCATTCAGTTGAGACCACATTTCCATTACTGGACCTTCCCAGCCTTGTCAGTGCCTTTTTCCCAGCATTGAGATCTAGGATAAATGTCTGGGTCTCTGCTTCTCTCCACTCCTGTCTGTTATCTTGACTATACTGCAAACTGGCAAATTCAGTTTTTATTCATTTGAGTAGGATCAAATATATTTAAGATAGAAAAATCCACGTTTATGATAAACTAGGCTAGTTTATTTCACAATAATGATTCCATATTGCATGGCTCCCATCCAATACCCTATTTTTATTTTCACAAACAGGATACATTTGTGTTTTTGTAATGTGTGGTGACCTATCTTTTTCCATAGGCTGCATTAGGAATTATGCAGATGGTTGAAGACACCCTTATTGAACATGCTCATACGAAACCTCTCCTTCCAAGTCAGCTGGTTCGGTATAGAGAAGTTCAGCTCCCTGACAGTAAGTTGAAATCTCTTAACTTTAGTAATGGGGCCTACTTTGACATAATGTTGTCGGTGATTACATTTGGGTTGAATTCACTTGGATGATAATTATAATTTTATGGTAAAGATCTACTGGGATCCTCTACTATTTATAGAAGTATAGTTAAAAATAGATAATTCTGCCAGAAAATTCTCTGTATGAGGACTAAAGTGAAATAGGAAGTATGCAATTATTTTGAAGATAATGATACTAGAACTGACTCATAATTGAGTGTAGAGGAGTTAGAAGTAAAAATATCTTGATGGTGAAGGATAAAATAGAATTTATTTATGAAAAATGTAAACTAGAATCATAAGAACTGGTTTGAAGCCCATAGGAGTCTTTGACAGAAAGAGTTTCAGGGAACTCACAGGTGCAGGTAACACCATGTATTTATTGCATGCACTTTTATAAGGAATTAACATAAAGAATAGATAATGGTGGAGTCTGCAGTGCTAAATTACTTTTTTCTTTTCACTTTTTAAATCCTGCGTATTTTTTTTATTATTTGAATTTTTGTATATATTGAGCATTGTTTTCTTTATAGTTTAAAAAGTAATAAAAAACTGTTGTTCTACAATAGAATCTTTTTATTATTTTTTTAATTGGAGTATTGTTGATATGCAGTTTTTATTGGTTTCAAGTATATAATAGAGTGGTTAAACAGTTACCCACATTATTAAATCCTCACCCCACTAGTGCAGTTACTATCTGTCAACATAGGAAGATGTCACAGAATCATTGATGGTATTTTCCACGCTGTCCTACCGTCCCTGTGACCAACTTATATTATGATTGAGCGCTTTGTGGCCCTTCATCCCCCTCACCCACCTACCTCAATTCCTCCCCCATGGTAACCACCAGTCACTTCTCAGTGTCTATGAGTCTACTGCTGTTTTGCTCATTTATTTTATTTTGTTTCTATATTCCACAAATAAGTGAAATCATATGATTTGTTTTTATCCACTTGGCCTTATTTCACTTAGCATAATACCCTCTAGATCATCCATACTGTTGCAAATGGTAGGATTCTTTTTATGGCTGAGTAATATTCCATTGCATATGTGTACCACATCTTTATTCACTCATCTATTGATGGACATGTAGGTTGCTTCCATACCTTGGCTGTTGTAAATAGTGCAATGATTAACGTAAGGGTACATATGTCTTTTTGAATCAGGGATCTTGTTTTCTTTGGGTAAGTTCCTAGGAGTGGAATTACTAGGTCAGATGGTATTTCTATTTTTAGTTTTTTGAGGAACCTCCATATTGCTTTCCACAATGGTTGTACCAATTTACATTCCCACTAACACCCACCAACAGTGTAGGAGGGTTCTCATTTCTCCACACCCTTGCCAGCATTTGTTTCTTGTTTTACCAATTAATTTTTCTCCTAATCTCAGCAATAAAAAAAAATAATGTTGAATTTTAGTTTTTTGAGGAACCTCCATAAGCAGTAATTTCTTTTGACATAAAAACTCATTAAGCATTATTTTCAATATTGTTCAAAATTGTTTAGTGGAAAAATATATTAGACCAGGGATGAGAAGTTGGTTTTTTTAAAGCCAAACTCAATTATTGGTTGTTCCACATGCATGCACGGACTGTGCTCTTTCAGGTGTATTAACTCCCTCGCTCTCCCTCTTCCTCATGAACCTATGTCTACACCCTGTTCATCTTTCTAGGCCCATCTTGTAAGTCATCTGTTCCACTAAACTCTTTCTAAAACATCCAGATAGAAGTAATGACTTTGTTTCCTGAACCTCCCAGCAGTTTTTATGAACCTTTACATATTTAATCTACTCAGCATTTCTTCTCTTACTGGAATTGAAGTACATCTCCATCTCCTGACTATATATTTCTTAAGGCTGGGGGCTGTGTCTGGCTCATCTGAGTGGCTACTAAAGCAACTCTCAGAGGATTACCTTGGGATATCATTGTTGAAGGCTCAAAGATACTCAAGCACAGCTCTTCTGTTCTTCATGACCACTCAACACAGACCTCGTGATGGATCGTTTCAAACTTCTGCTAGTTTGTTCCTCAGTCATTGCATGTGGCAGAGAGCAAGAGTCAGGATCTGCCTTTGAAAACCCATAGCACTGTGGTCAGCAGGCATAGCGAGGCGAGTCTAGAAACAAAATTGGATCAGACCTCTTTTTATTACACTTCCTGCTTTCTTTCTCTCCTAGAACCCTATCTCTTTTGTTTTCCATGCACCCCTGCAAATTGCCCAGTGCTCAGAACTAATTCAGTTCACATCCCATTCTCCAAATGCTAGGTTTTAGGAACCATTCTGATTTAACCAGCTTATCAGATGTAAGTGTCTTAAATAGTCCTTCCTTAACTCTCCATGGACAATATTTACAGTTTAAAAATAAAAATTTCAGGCATTGGGAATGAGGAGACATTTGGGGATGTATAAGAAAAGGCCGGAAATGTGTGTGTTCCAGGGGTGGGTAACTTATCCTTCCTCTTCTGATAAAAGGGAACTTAGTGCTCTAGTATATGACCAGAAAGTTTGACTGTTGCTCAAACTTGGACTGGTCAGAGAGTGAGATAAGTGCCATACAACTCCAGACTTCTCTCCCTCCCTTCCCTGTTGATGTCTAAGTTAGCATCTATAGGAGTGAGCAAACATATCATAAACACTGTGTCTGAGAAACTTTATTCGTGAGTCTCATATAATACTAAATAAATACACCCTGTGTATTTGCTTCATCACATTTATTGTTCATGAAATAAGGTTATCAGGTTATAAAGCGTGACCATCTCTTCATAACTTTGATGAAACATCTGATCGATACATCTGAGTTTTAGTCTTAGCTCTCCACCTTTCCCATTTGGGTCCTTGGACAAGCCACCCCACTCCTCAGGGCCTCAGTTTCCTCATCTCTGAAGTGAGGTGTTAGGTTAAGTTATTGCTAAGCTTTGCACACATTTGTGTAAATTTGTGAAATGATCTTCAGTGTGGGTGTTGGTAAACAATGTTGAGACTAAAATGCTAAACAAACGCAAGGTAATAAAGGCACAGCTAGTAATTTTTAGAAGTTGTTTTTTATGGTTATTACAACATAAGCAGTCTTTCTGTTGCAATTCTTGTATGTATTAGCTAGTTCTAATCAAGTGCATATACTAAATTGTACACTTTTAACTATGGATCTCATTTAGCATTAACACGTAGTCATAATAATGGGTCTTTTATAAATTGTTTGCCCTTTAAATTCAGTGAATGTTTATTAAGGGCCTCCCAAGTATAGATGCTGTATTAGGATTCCCTTAGGTAAGTTAATTGAGTTTCACATTCTTAATAAATTAATTGTACTTTGGAATTGCTGAAAAACATCAGTCAAATTGAATAACTTTAAAAAGCCAGGCAAAATATTGACTTTGTTAAAACTAAATAATTTTGAACCTGTTGCTCTCTTTTTGAAACTTTCTAGGAGGATGGTTTGTTTATCAGCAGAGGAATGAAGTTCACAATAACTGTGGCATTGAAATATACTACCAAACAGACATGCAGAGCACCTCGGAGAATATGTTTCTAGAGCTTTTCTGTCAGATCATCTCTGAGCCTTGCTTCAACACCTTGCGCACCAAGGAGCAGCTGGGTGAGTGGGAAGTGGGGAACAGCAGGATACCATAGACCTGGAGAAGCAACCTTTGTCCTCAGAATGCATTCTGCACATGGACATTCCCCTTCAAGGGTACTTCCCGGCATGTTGCTGTGTTTAGAAAGACTTGTGAAAATCTTGTTTGTGGGGAATCCACTTCTAAAGGATAAGCAGTTAGTATCATAGGGACATTAAAGCAGTTCTTTAAAGAGATGACACTGTTTACATTACCTACATGTCAATGGTGAAGACGTTTTGGGTAGAGGGAGAGGATGCTAAGGGCAGGCTATTTATTACGGGTAGCAAGGTGAGAAGCAAGCTATCCAGGGAAGCTAAAATCCACTAACTTTGGGGTTCCCTCAGGCAGATTCATCTTTGTGTCTTCCAAGACTGGGGCACATAGAAGGTACTCTGTGTTTGTTGAGGAAATGCTGCAGGCAGAGTTGCAGGCACTGTTTAAAATAAGTCTTGGAGATCCTGGCAGGGGATCAGTGAGAAAAGAAGGAAGCCCCAGTAATGACTGGGAGGAACCTATAAAAGAAGGATTTGGTGGGTCTCTCCAAGTACCTTTATTTTTTAAACAATTAGTGTGGTAGGTGGGGGACATCGAAAACAGATAAGCAACAAATGGTCCTTCCCTTCAAGAAGCTCATAGTCTAATGAGGAAGGCAGGCCTGAAAAGGAATAATTATAGTACAGTGTAGCAAATACTACTGAGTGTTCAAACTCTAATGGCTGTGCTGAAGACAGTGGCTTTCTCAGACTTTGGACCCAAGGACACCACAGCTCTCAGAGGTGTGATTCAGGGTAGAGCAGCCTGAAGGGCGCAAGCTGCGACCTTGGTTTAGAGAAGACGTTGAAAGGAGGTAGTGCGTGGGCTCACAGGTGACCGTGGACGTATGATCTTCAATTATTTGGTCTCTAGAGATGAGCATTCTGAGTAGAGTTGGTTCAGGAAAGGATTATTCCTGAATAGTAGAGCCAAGTTCACATGAGGAACTTGGTTGTTAAAGGGAACAGGTGGAACAATGGTTTGGGTTTGAAAAAATAAGCCCAATATTTCTAAGGGATGGGAATCACTTTAACATTGATTGAAGGCAATTAACTAGCAGACAGTGAGGCATTTTGGGGTGAGTTTGAATGATGAAGAGTGGGGTTTTTTTGTTTTGTTTTTTAAGAAGAAAGTTATCTCCAACTATCTAACTATTCTTCAGAGAGCTCTTTAGCTCTGTCCTTAGGAACTGAGGATAACTTTATTGCTCATATTTCTTTGGAGGTAAATAATATAAATCCCTAAAGTAGATTTTATTTGCTTTGACAGGATAATTTTTGAAAGATTAAAAGTGATCTGAATCTCACTGTAGCATCTTACTATGCTGATGGACAGTGACTGCAGTGGGTTGGGGAGGAACTTGATAGTACGGGTGAATGTTAAAACCACAGTGTTGTTCATGTGAAACCCTCATAAGATTGTATATCAATACCTTAATTTAAAAAAAAAAAGGTGCTCTGAGTCTCAAATGCCAAAGTCCTGACTGGCTGGTGTTTATGTTTTAGGCTATATCGTTTTCAGTGGGCCACGTCGAGCCAATGGCATCCAGGGCTTAAGATTCATTATCCAGTCAGAAAAGCCACCTCACTACCTGGAAAGCAGAGTGGAAGCTTTCTTAATTACCATGGAGAAGTCCATAGAAGACATGACAGAAGAGGCCTTCCAAAAACACATCCAAGCATTAGCAATTCGTCGACTAGATAAACCAAAGAAACTCTCTGCAGAGTGTGCTAAGTACTGGGGAGAAATCATCTCCCAGCAGTACAATTTTGACAGAGGTAAGGCCAAGCTGGGGCGCCAGCATTTGTGGGACGTAAGTGTAACATCTGGGGACATGGAGGGCGTTCTACCAAAATGGTGTTCATTTTGTGGGGAATGTTCCACTACTGATTTGGAAGGGGAATGCACCACTTCTAAAGAACTGTTACTTAGAACAATAATTTCCTATTATTTATCTTTTTTTATTCTCAAAAACTAGAGCTGATCTACCTGTGTCTCATAGTAATGCTCTAATAATAAATCTAATTTCACTTTCTGTGATCAATCAGTGTGCCCCTGAGGCTCTGAGCACAGATCTGTAGTATCTATTTCCCATAACACCAAAAAAAAGGACAGATTTGCAAATTGGACTGTCCTGAGGCAGAGGCTGCCCTGGAGGCACAAGGGATCAACATTTGCTCTGAGGGGTCTCCAAAAATGTGTCAGTGCTTTTAGGTCTGGGAGCACTGTGCTCCCAGAAGTCTCCTGTTGATCTGTTTCCTTTTGCCTTCCTTCTGGAGCAGAGGTTAACCATGGAGCACACTATGCTACGCTAGACGTCAGGATACTAGCAAGCCAGTCTTGGCCAGGTTACCTTTTTTGGGCCTCCATTTCCTCATCTGTAATTTCTTTGGAAGTTAGATTCACTATTAATAATAGTACCTACCATTTATTGAGCATTTGCCACATGCCTAGCATCATGTTACTGTCATTTATCATATCCCTTTGTTCTCACTACAGCCCCATTAAATAATTATTATCCCCAATTTCCAGATGAGGAACTGAGGCTCAGAAAAGTTGAAGTGACTAGCCCAAGATCCAGCCGCTCATGAGTAGAGAGCCACGATATATCCTCTTACTTTTTACTTGAAATTTATTCCCTAACTACTTGCAGGTGTAGATGATCACTTAAAAACATGAATATTTAAGAGCATTGGAGTAAAGTATATTGTCATTTAGTGTAGTATTCTGGGCTACTTAAAATAGGAAATATTAGTAAATTATTATTTGATTACTTTTTCAGATAATACAGAAGTTGCATATTTAAAGACACTTAGCAAGGAAGATATCATCAAATTCTATAAGGTAAATTGAATTTGTACATTTAGATTTTTGGCTGATAAGGAAATAGTAAATGTGCTATGTTGTGTGTTGCTGCTTTGAATCCATTCAGGCATGATTTGTGAAAGCATTTTTATGGATGTAAGTATTTTGGACACATACTACTATTGGAAAGAACAGGTACAGTTCATATTGAATGCAGTACTGTTCTCATCGCCCTCTGGACCAGGGACTGTGGTGGCCCTTCCAGGCCTACTTTTGTTTCTTCTCTCTGTTCACCACCCCACCCCTACAATGAACATTGCTGAGCTTGTTCTGTGGAAGGAAGAACAGAGAACTCCTTCTTGAGAGTTAGATTATTTTCCAGGCTCTGACAACTAGGAATTGTCCTCACCCACTTAGGTACCACCATGGCTGTTTTTATTTTTATTTTTTACTTAAAGTATCATTGATATACACTCTGATGAAGGTTTCACATGAAAAACAATGTAGTTACTACATTCACCCACATTATTGAGACCCCCCATACCCCATTGCAGTCACTGTCCATCAGTATAGTAAGATGCCACAGAGTCATTACTTCTCTTCTCTGTGCTACACTGTCTTCCCCATAATCCCCCACACACACCATGCATGCCAATCATAAACCCCCTCAATCCCCTTCTCCCTCCCTTCCCACCCACCCTCCCCCTCCCTGACCCTCCCCTTTGGTAACCACTAGTCCCTTCGTGGAGTCTGTGCTATTTTGTTCCTTCAGTTTTGCTTCATCATTATACTTCACAAATGAGGGAAATAATTTGGTACTTGTCCTTGTCTGCCTGACTTATTTCACTGAGCATAATACCCTCTAGATCATCCATATTGTTGCAAATGGCAGGGTTCCTTTTTATGGCTGAATAGCATTCCATTGTGTATATGTACCACATCTTTATCCATTCATCCACTGATGGACACTTAGGTTGCTTCCATATCTTGGCTATTGTAAATAGTGCTGCGATAAACATAAGGGTGCATATGTCTTTTTGAATCTGAGAAGTTGTATTCTTTGGGTAAATTCCTAGGACTGGAAATCCCAGGTCAAATGGTATTGCCACTTTTATTTTTTGAGGAACCTCCATATTGCTTTCCACAATGGTTGAACTAGTTTACATTCCCACCAGCAGTGTAGGAGGTGGGAATTTCTCCACATCCTTGCCAGCATTTGTTGTTCCTAGTCTTTTTGATGTTGTGTGGCTGCATTTTAAAATAAATGATTGCTCACCTTTGAACTGTGTTGAGAGTTCTTATGAGATTTGCCTGTCTCATTGAGATTGTATTTCATGAGAAAAGAGAGGAGAGGTACCATCATTAAAGTCTTCCTAGTATAGCTTTAAGAGGTTTGTACATCTAAACTTCTCCCACCTATAGCAAAAATTTTCAGAAGGTATATAATGTGTAATAAGCATGCTAAGTACAGAAATTAAAGCTTTGTGCTGCAATAGAGTTCTACTTTTAAAAGTGTTATATATATTCTTCGCAATGTATTAGGGCCTTTGAAATTTTTGTAAAATAGTTTATGCCTATTTTGGAGGACAACGAGCAAAATTTATACTCTGTGATTATAGCACCTTAGAATTGTACCCTGTCTAGTGTTCCAGCCAGTCCCCTGGTTCGTATCTGAAGTATTAGGAGCTAGTTCTTTGGCCAGGAACTGCTCGTACCCTATGCAGACTTCACTTTGAGAGGGGTATCATCTGCTTTACAGTGTCATTTTTCAGGGATGTATTATAGCTGCCAATACAAGAGTCAGTACTTACAGTTCTCATTAGATTCATTTTGTGGAATTAATTGTACAGTGAAAGCTAAACACATTTTTCTCCTTTATTAGAGGTTTCATTACCCAGCTGTCTAGGGTGGCTGGGCAGGTTAGTTTCTTTACCTCGTGGCTCCCTTTGCTTTGTGTAGAGGAAGACAGGAGACTCATCTAACTACTCTTGTCCTTTTGCAGTAATGGTGTATACAAACTTATATACTTTGATGGGAGGTTAGCTATGCACTTGTGGAGCAAGGGGCATATTGAAAATCTGTACCTTCCACCTAAATTATGACGCGAACCTAAAATTGCTTTAAAAAATGAAGTCTGTTTAAAAAATATGTGTATGCATATAAATTTTTTTCTAGTAGAAAATAAAACAATTGTGACCTGAAATATAACCCCCAGTCATCTTTGTATGCAGGAAGAGAGAGCCACAGTAGGACCGGGAGAGCAGAGTTAGGCATAGGAGCCATGCTCAGGGCACAGCCGCTGCTCAGCTGCGCAGCTGTCTAGGGTGCCCCTGAGAGCTGCCAGCGTCACTCAGGATCTCACCCTCTTGAAGTTTCTTTCCCCCCTTAGGCAGCAGCAGGAGCATGTATAGCCTCTGAGTAAAGACCCAAGACTCAGCCCCATCACCATCTAGCTAGCTCTCTACCCTTGGCCAACTTACTTAAGTGTATAAGCCTCAGTTTCCAAATTTACAAAATAGAGATTAATTGGAATATTAATTGAAATGAAATAGGTAAAGTGATTAGCACTAAGGAACATTTAATAAATGATCTATATTTTTATTACCCTTTATTAGTAATACTCAGTCCCAGTGTTTTTAAATGTTGTAATCAGAATAATTTAAATCAGAAATAGGACAATGCTTCTTGTCCTATTTTATTTGTTATAAAATAAGTTTTTAATGTGTTTATTTGCTACTTAAGACTGTTACCAACTCTTCTCAATTGCCTGCAAAAAATGGTGATTGTGTTCAGCTCTTTTTGGTTTCTGAGATATTATTTTAAGGTGTTATTAGTTAATGGGTGTTCAGAAAGAATGATGTCCTAATATAAGTTACTCTGTAGTATTTCCAGAAGAAATGAACATTTTTTCTTTCTTTCTAGAAATTCTATTACTCATTTGAAATTACAAGTAGTACCTGATTATCGAATTTGTGAAAATAGCAGTTATAAGACTGAGTCTTTCTTGTCCTAAAAACTGAGAGTTTTTATTACCATGGTAAGGCTAAATCTATAAGACATTCACCCTAGGTGTGTTCCTTGGTACACTAGTGTTCTATAAAATATTAAGAGGGGCATCTAGGAAAAAGGGTTTCACAAACATACAAGTTTGGGAAAGACTATATACTCTTCATTCCCATTCTTGGAGAATCATGGAGTGTGTTTAAAAAGTTTTAAAAGTTCTTAGAAACCCACAGTAATGACTTCTTTAGCCTGCATTTGTTTAATTTTTGATTAGCAAAACATACATTTTCTAAACTGATAGCACAGTGGACCCTTGTTTCGCACAGCTTATCTGTAAATATCTGCTGGGACTCCACCATCCTCAGAATACAGCTTGCAAAAAACTGAGGTTGGTTGGTTGGCTTTCAGAAAAATGCAGATTGTCCAGAGTTGGTCAGGAAATCGAGAACAGTCTGAAACTGAAGAGGATATTGTACTCTCTACTGATGCAGGTGGATAAGAGGGCAATGAAGGGTGAAAAGGAATCAAGAATAATAGATTTTTGAAAGCGAAGTTTTTTACTCCATTAAGTAAGAAGTTCGTAGGTGAGGTACTGCATATTAATGGAGGCAGGCCTGGGCTGAGCCCCTGAAAGAGGCTGGAGAGGCCAGAGTAGGCCTGTGGGAGAACCTGGCTGTTCTGCAGGTTGGAGGAAGCCCTGGTCAAGTTTGTTGTGCAACATTAACAGAGCTTCCATTATAGCTGCACAGGACCAAGCTTCCAGTAACTGCTCCATAAGTAATTGTTGATTTGGCTTTGTGGATGCTTTCTCCCTTTGAAGACATAAAACATTATTTATGGCTGAGGCATCAGGGGAAGCTTCATCACAGCTTGTGTTTATCCTTTGAAAAACAAGAAAGGAAAAGGTGAATACACTTTCTTACAGGATCTGTCTGCCAGCTGACCAGTCCTGGTCGTAATGGTGGCAATCAAGAATTCCTCCCAGTAACTTGGTGGGATGGGGAGAAAAAGCAGGCCTCACTTCTGACACTAACACCTACAAGCTGCGTGACTTCAAGTCATTGCACCTCCCTGTGTCGTAGAGTGTGTGTCTCTAAAACAGCATCATCATGATGCTTGGCCTACAGAGAACCAAGCGAGCTAACATAGCAGAGTGCCTGATACAAGGCAGGACCCAGTCAATGTAGTTCCCTTTCTCTCTCACTCTGGTAGAATCTGAGAAGGTTCTTAGAGGAGAAGGCATTGTGGCCATCCCTTGACTAAGCCCACTCCTTTGCCCCTGCAGACACCAAAGATCACTTGGTGCAGCCCTGCACCACCGCTGATGAGCACGAGGCTGGGTGTTCAGTCCCAGCCTGGTAATCACTAGCCGTAGGAGTTTGAGCACATCACTTAATCCCCTTGGACTCAGTGTTCTCATCTATAAGATGGGGTTAAGAATAATTCTTGCCTACCCTACCTAATCTTCATAGAGTTTAAATGAAATGCTCTGAGGGGAGAGAAAGGGAAACATCTTTTCTGTTTCTGGCTATAAAAGAGCTGATTCTTTGGAGTCATAAGAGAGCACCTCATTTTAAGTTCTTTAGTAGGGCAAAAAAGGTGACCTAGCTATTCTTTCTGCCTAGGAGATGCTGGCAGTAGATGCCCCAAGGAGACACAAGGTATCCGTCCATGTTCTTGCCAGGGAAATGGATTCTTGTAAGTATTTTAAATACTGACCTTTTTTTAAGTGTGTTTTTAGATACACGATGGTCATACCTTGCCATAGCCGTGCGTAAAGGGTCACAGATGAAGACAGGGTCTGCTTTATCAAAGTAAAATTAAAAATGGAAAAGGGAAATGAGGCAGTGCAAGAAAGAGCCAACACCAGGGTTAACAAGGCCCAGCTGGCCACAGCTTTATAAGAAAAGGCAGCTAGTTGCTGTTCAGACATCTTCAAAGAAGCTGTATGGAGCCACTGTCTGTGGGGAAGGGTAAGCAATTTATCTGCTCAGTCTTCCCATCTCCTACCTCTGACTGGACAAGGTTTGCCCCACAGCCGTTAACTTTCCTGCCTTCTGCATTGTTTTACTGAGTCCTTGAGTGTGGCCAGAGTTTCAGGGTCCCTTGAGCTCAGACCTGGGCACTAAAGCTGTTGTGGACAAGGCTTTGTAACCATAGTAGCATCATGAACCACACTGGAGACTTTCCAGGTAGGAGGCAGGATAACCAGTCAAGGCCTTGGGGAGCAGGCAGCCTGAGAGGACCCATAAAACTGGGCCTAGTAGTTCCTTTAATGAGCTGAGTCTGGTTTTGATTTTTTTTTTTAAGTTGCTGTTTGTGTGCTAGCATCACTAAATGCAAAGCACTAAAGGTCGTTTTCTTACAGGTCCTGTGGTTGGAGAGTTCCCCTGTCAAAATGATATAAATTTGTCACAAGCACCAGCATTGCCACAAGTAAGAAACGTAAATGTCACATCAGATCGCACTGTCAGACAACTTCCTCCTTAGACCTAGAGGTTTCAGGTCACCAGGTGTTTGAGCCTCTGGATTAGGTTCCTTGTGAAGGCCAGGCCAGCATTCTCTCTGACAGCACACCGTGCTCATACCCTTTCTAGCTGCAGAGAGACACAGCCTCTGCCCTGGTCTGCCTTGGCTTGAACAGTTGTGTTGCTCTGCAATGAGTTGCCTCCAGCCACATGTGTCCCCAGCCCCTTCTACAGCACCTGCATATTTTAATCATCTAGAAAGGTTGGCATTTACTTGGAGCAGAAGGAAATTGGCAGTGTGTAACTGGGCCTTTGTTGTGTGGGCTCTGCCACTCTGCTGAAGCCTTGATGCTGAGCCTTGGTTTGCCAGCTGCCCAGGGGGAAGCCAGGAATCTTCTTTCTGGCCAGTGTCACACTGGGGACACTCACCATAGGTTTGCATAGACCCTCTGGCCCTACAGATCCAGGAAGAAAGATCAGCAGATCATCATATATGAGGTAGAAACTAGAGTGTGTGCCAAAAGAAAAAAATGCTGACATCCTGTTCAATCTGCTTTTTAAGCCAACCTACACTAAGAGAAAACCTTTTTTCTTTGCAGCCTGAAGTGATTCAGAACATGACTGAGTTCAAGCGTGGTTTGCCACTATTTCCCCTTGTGAAACCACATATTAACTTCATGGCTGCAAAACTCTGAAGATTTCCCAAGGATGGGAGCATGCATTCCTGAGTCTTCCTGGGGCCAGGAAAATAATCTTGGCCACTTTAATAGTTTTGGGGTCACTATTAGAGAGACAAACAGAAAAAAAGCAGTTGTCAAATGTCATTATGTAGAAATATTAAAAATCTAAAGTAATTAAACTACAGAATCATATAGATGTAGAATATTTTTAAAATACATGCCTCTTAAATATTTAAAAAAATTTTTCTTTTCATTACTAAGAGAAATTGCCCTTATATAACAGTACTTAAAATGATGAATGATATTCCTGTAGAAATCTTCCTTCCCTATTCTGTAAAATAGTCACTTGTCAAAAGAAAATACGTTAGCTTTTTTGTAAAAGCCTCCTAGGTTGACAGAAAAGGCTATGAAACATTTAGAAAGGTAATACCCTTTTAAAAATTGATCCTCAAATTTGCTTTCTACCTAATGGTTTTGTGTAAATCAGTGGAGAACATTACATTTACAGATAATGAACAAAGAAATGTAATTTTCTTTTATTAGTGAAATTGCTGATATAAGGCATGGTTTTAATCTTTTTATAAAATTTGAACATGTTTTTTATTCAAACTAGGAAAATGCTGAAAAATCCTAGATCACCCTACTTATTTACAGTGCTAAAGTTACATCGATTCATCCCAAAGTGAATTTCTCAGGATTACTGTGTTCCTTTCTGGTTGAATTATATTGACATTCTTGTTGTTCATAGTTGGTTTGCAGTGTTGCATCAGTTTTCCTTTTTCCCATTAACATGTTGCTGTATTTATTTAATAAGTACAAATAGGGTCAACTTCAGATCCCACTGAGTGTGTGACATGCTCTTCCAACATCAGCTATTATATAAACACCTGTAACTTTTTACTGCCATGAAATGACAGTCAGCATGAATCAAAATATTTGTCCCATGATAAGTCTAAGATTTTAAGTATAAAGCCACCTTTTTGGAGGTATTAAAAAAATGAAGCCTTGGATTCTTAAATAGCATGATCTCCGTAAGACTCTAAAATCCCTTTTTTGCTACCAGTCTAATACTGCCTTAAAGTGTTAAGTTATTTTTTGAATATATAAATATAAACATACAGATGATGACTGGAGTGGACTTTTAAAAAATATTTTTTTCATGAGATACTATTTTAGATGAAATTGTTACTGTAGATTTAACAGCTGTTTTGAAATATTTACTGTTATTAAAATTCACTTCAAGAGAAATTGCAATATACTTCCACATACAGGCACTAGTAACAAACAGTAAGTGGCCCTGTCATCCACTAACTCAGGCAGAGTAAATGACATTTTACCTCCATATGAGTTGATTTGCCAGGACTTCTTTCTGTAGAGTCAATGTCTTTTCACATCTTTTTAAGTTTTCACATTTGCAGTTTTCACACAAACTAAATTTGGGGCAAGAATGCTGTAATCACAACTGCAGAGGCTGCTTTGAAAAGCGAGCTCCATCTGTCAGATAAATGTGGTGCTGTAACCGTCTTTTTATCACTACTCTCAAGAGCTTCCTGGTATGAAGCCTGTCTTTGTCCATCGGAAGGTATCTTAGTCATCACTTCCTTCTGGTTTTATGCATTTGTAGACTATGCAGCTTTCCATCAAACTGCAAATATATATGAGAGGGATCTAAAATTAGTCCTGAGTGTTTAAATCACCACTGTAAGAATCAACAATACACCTACATTTTCTGTGGAAAATTATGTGCTAGTGAGTAATTTCTAGCTCTTTAAAAAAAAGCAAATGGGTGAAATTTAACAGTATCATGAGAGTCACATGAAGAAATCTGAAAAGAATCTCATATAGTCTTCCAGGAACTGGTGATTGTTGTTCAGTGTGTTCTAGCATTGTCTAGTTTCCGGATTGGATCTAGAGCTTCTGTTGGGTCACTCAGGCCTACTAATGGATTCATTTAAATGGATCCAAGCTGCAGTCCATGAGCAATAACAGACTACCCTGAATACTGCTCTTTACGTAGTGCTTAGTAAATGAGATTTGTGAAACACACTAAGTTATTAGTTACCTGTGACTTAAAAAAAAAGTCTTCTTTTTGACTAGTTGATGTGGAAGAGAGCATGTGACACAGCCAGTATGGTGGAGTGCTAGGGTAACCCTGTTTACAATAAATCGCCTGAATTTAAACTCTGGAGTTTGTACTTGTATTCTTTTTACAGTTTCCATAGCCAATTCTGAACCTACTTTTCAACACCCTGATGTGACAGTGTACCTTGCCTTCATTCTCCTAATGCAGAAAGCAGTGAATTGGGTTTTGTTTGTTTTAAATGTATTTGGGTATGATTTAGTCAAATAAGTGCTGTTAGCACACTTAACTCTTGTAAAATAGTAATCTGATGTGAGAGACTGAACTCCGTGCTATTAGTATTGTCACTGCCCCCAAGATTTGTCTCGGGCATTACAGGGAGGAAAATAAGAATAGGCAGAAAGGCAAAATATTTCTCTTCTCTACAGTTAGTCTCTGCATCTTCTTGCCGCATCTTCAGCAGTAGGTTAAGCAGGTGTCTCGTCCAATCCCTGGCCCCTGGCTGCCTGTGAAAATAGTTTTTCAGCTCATGTGAGTGCCAGCCAGCTCAGCCCAGAGGAAATGGCTCAGAACAGTGCACAGCCCACAGAGCCAGCACTGTGCTTGGGGGTGATGCAGCAGCCCTGTCCAGAGCCCCAGAGAAGCCCCAGTTTTATGGCTTAGGGCAGTTTTCCCCTCTCAAGGTGCGTGGGGTAGGGGAGCAAGATTATGTGCTACCCTGTTGTATTCTCTGATACCGCGTCTCAGAATGTTCAGGTTTATGTTGAAAACCGAAGATTCTCAAGTACTCTTTTCCCTTTTGCAAGGGGGTTCCTGTCCTCCAATCAGATGACCCTTCGATCTCTAGTATTCTGTTCTTCTTGTCAAATGAAGTTCATTGTCCTCTCAGCTTGGACAGTGTACACCCTGTGGTTTCTTACATCAGAGCTTATTGGTAGCACTGAATTACTGCTTTTCTTACCCAAGTCCAACTCCTCGAAGATACAGTAGCATTTTGGAGAGCTCATACCCTAAATTAACATTAACAGACAGTATAGAGCACTTTATAGATTACAGACAACCCTCACAGACGCCTTCCACAGTAGATTTCCCACTGTAATCTTTTGACATGGAAGGATAGTGATTAAATTATCACCATCACCCCAGGTTTTCAAGGTGGAAATAGACTCAGAAAGGCTAAATAGTTTGTTCAGGGTGGTGCATGAACATAGATTCAAATCTGCACACTGATCTTTAAGCTCTGGTTGTCCCATGTGTATTTCCTGTGATAACAACTACTACATCCATTAATGTAGAACAAAGAACGGCAGTTGCTTTTACATTTGTATGAAACTACCTTTTTCACGTGCACCATCTTAATTAATCTCCCAACCTTTGCCAAATTTGGAGGGAGGGAGATCAGATGTCACAGTCTGTTCGCCTCTCCTCCAGGCCACTGTTTCCACTTTACTGGCCTACGTGTGGCCAGTTCACCACCACCACCACCTGTCGGAATTCCCTCCCTATTGGGGTTAATCCAGACCCGTGCCTCCTGGTCTGCTCCTTAAGTCAACACAAGCTCTCCTTCCCGTTGTCCTTGGAGTGAGTGATGAGAGTATCTGGAATCCCCAGGAAATTCAGAGGAGTGTGAAGAAGAGTCAAGTTCATCTGTGACCCCATCACTCAGAGACAAACCACATTTGCATTAGGTTTCTTTGCAGTCTCTTCCTGTGCCTATAAAGTAGGGTCATATATTCCGTGTTGCAGCATTTTCCCTCAATAGTCCACAGTGAGAATGTTGCACATCAATACTCTTGAAAAAAAAGATGTTTGTTGTTGGGTGTTTGGTATCATGTCATTCTGTATTTTGCTTATCACGTCCTCTTTGTGGGATATTCAGGGTGTTTTCAAACTTTGATCTATCATAAAACTCCTTGTTCAGAGTATGTGTGTGATTTTCTGATTATTTAAATTGCTGGGTTGTAAAATATGAATCTACCATTACCTTTTCGTTTTGAAAGTTTTAAATCTACAGAAAAGTTATAAAAATAGGACAATGAATTCCCAGGACCCTGCACCCTGTATTCACCAGTTCTATGTTGGCTGCACACTGCCTGCTCCCTCTATCAAGTAGGTTGCAGACATCATGACTCCTGAATCCTTCAAGTATCTCCAAATAACAAGGTCAGTATGTAGGAAGGAATTGGTCCTCACCGAAAGGGAGGTCTGTCCTTTGTCCCCTTTGTCCTTGTTTAGACATTATATATCAGTAAATTGACAACTTAAATAAATAAATTTCTTAGACACAAATAAACAAAACAGACATGAAAAGAAATAACAAAAATTGGATATTCCCTTATCTGTTTAGGAAATTGAATTACTACCCTTCCCATAAAGAAAATGCCAAGCCCTCTGGGTAATTTTATCAAACATTTAAGAATATTCTGCTAATCTTACATAACATTTTGAGAACAGAGGAGAAAACTGTATTTCTGAGCCAGTATTACCCTTATACTAAAACTAAGCTATTTGAAGTAAAGAAAGGTCCAAACCTATTACCCTTTTAAAAGTTTCAGAATTCTTTAACAGTATTAGCAATTCAAATCCAGTGGTGTGTAAAAGGGATTTTTTTTAACGCAAGTATTACACCAACCTCACATGATGACTAAGTGGGGTTTTCCCAGGAATTTGAAGTTGGTATATTTGAAAATCAATTTGTGTTACTTTCCATAGTAATGAAAGAGAAAAAAAACATGCAATCATTTCAATAGATGCAGTTAAAAGCATTTTACAAAATTTATGAGAGCTCCAGCAAATGAGGAATAGAAGGGGACCTGCCAACCTAAAAGGAATTTATAAAATACCTACTAATAATATCATATTCAATGATAGAATATTGAATGCTTTCCCCCTAAGATCCGCACCAAGACAAAGATACATGCTCTCCCTACTTTCATTCAAACTTGTATTTGAGAGCCTACCAGTGCAGTAAAGATTAGAAGGGCTGAAGTAAAACTCTCCATCTACAGATAACATGAGAACATTAAAAAAAAAATTGGGGAACTGAAGAATTGCTACTCCTAATAACTGAGTTAACAAGGTTGCAGAGATAAATCAACATGAACAAATGAACTATATGTTTATATCCTGTCAACAAAATTCAAATTTATAATTTTCAATAGCACTAAAAAAGTAGGGGTAAATTTTTTTTTAATGTGAAAAACTTGTACACTGAAAACTTCAAACATTACTGAAAGAAAAATTTTAAAGACCAAAATAAAAGGATATATGCATAATACTGGATTGGAAGACAGTATTTTTAAGATAGCCATTCTCCCTTTTGATCTAGATTCTAAGCAGTGCCTATCAAAATGTCAGCAAGCTTTTTAGGCAGACAATTACCTGCTGATTTTAAAATTTACATGGATAAGCAAAGAATCTTGAATAGATAAAATATTTCTAAAAGAAGAACAGAGTTACCCTTCCTGATAGCAAGTCTTATATAAAACTATAGTAATCAAGATAGTGTGGATTGGTGTATGTAAGAGCAGACATGTGGGTCAATGGAAAAGAATAAAGAGTCCAGAAATAGGTCCTCATGTTGATTAAAATGGATTTTTGACAAAAAAGTTATGGTAATTCAATGGTGGAAATAGTCTTTTCAACAAATGGGTCAAGAACAAATGAATATCCTTATGGAAAAAAAGAAAAATTGAACCTTAACCCTCACTTCACAGAATATACACAAATTAACTCAAAGAACTACAGAATTTTTAAGCATTAAAACTATAAAACCAGCAGGGAAACATAATCTTTTTGAAGTTGGTAGGCAAAAATTTCTTAGGATGCAAAAATCACTAACCATCAAAGAAAAATGGACAGAGTGAAGTCTTTCAAATTAAAAAATGTAATCAAAAGATACTATTAAAAGGGCAAGCTGCTGACCAGGAGGATATTATTTGCAATATGTAGATCAGTTTAAGGACTTAAATATAAGAATATACATATAAGAAACTCTTGAAATTATATTATGTCAAAAATCTTCTAAAAATGTTGAATAGATGCTTCACTAAAGGAGATAGACTGTGAGTCATCAGGAAATGTGAATTAAAGCCAACATGAGAGTTAAAGCTGCAGCAAGGAGGATCAGTGGTCGCCTGGAGGCCCAGTCAGGAGATGGCATTAAGGAAACTTACAGAAATGCAAATGTTTTGGATCAATAAAAATCTGGAAAAAATTTTTTTAAAACAACCAAAAATATAACTCCACACAGACTAGAATAGGTAAAATTAGAAATATCGACTATACCAAGTAAAAGAGTCAAGCTTCTAGCATATATATACATTATATTTTAAGTATCTTTTCCTGCTATGGAGTAGATGCCCTCATTCTTTGCTTTTTGTAGCAGAAGGTCATATCTTGGAGACTATTTTGCAGGTGGGTTTGGTCCCTGTGGCTTTCAGGAAGTTTGTTCACCATTTGATCCAACTGTACCCGTTTTTGTAAAGTCGCAGTCCAGTACACTGAATGTTCTCGCTGGTCTGAATCTCTAATCTCAGCTGAAAGGAGGAGCCCATAAACATAATGTTCTGGTTACCCTAATCCACCATGTCAAACAGTGCTTTACCTTCCAGCCGCCTGGCTTCCCTAACCTTACCTTCCTTCCTCCCATCACTACCTTGGAGCAAGATAGAAGCACTTCAGCTATTTGATCTCTGCTTACATCATCACTGCCTGGAATTGTTATGATTGCAGTTTGATCAGGATGGAACTTGGCCCCCTCTCCACATATTTTGTAAAGCATAGAGGCTATCAGTTCAGTATATCTGCTTTGGCAAAAACCCAAAAAAGTAACCAGAATGGGCTGTAGCCTGGAATTCTACTGGCTAATTAGATTCTTCAGAGCCTTTCATTTATTATAGGTGACTAGCACCTTGGCACCATATCTAAATTCTGTCTCAGAGTTTCACACACAGTAAAGTCCCTGGATTCCGAAATCATGGCTTCATTTTAAAAATTAAGACTTTGCTTAGACCTATTTCATGGCCAAGTAAGCTACACTTCCATAAATTTAATTTTGGCTCTTTGGACCTAAGACTTAATCTTAGCATAGCCTAGTCTAATAG